TGCAAAGGTGTCCGAGAGTGTCCCTATGTTTCTCGGGCCTCCAAGTTGGTAGCTTGAGGTTTTGGGGAACGCGAAGCGGCATGAAGTTCATACCTACAAGTTGTGGTTAAGGCCTTCAAGTTGGTAGCTTGGGGGTTGTAGTTCCTAGGTCAACCTGAAACAGGACATTCATGGCCCGGGCGTGACCAGAAAAGGCCGTGAGATGTGCTGGGGCAGCTGGTTGAAAAGTAGCCTGGGAAGGCTTTTTTGGACGACCGAAGTACTAGAAGGATAGATGAAGTGTTCATTTGCGATGCAGCTTGTGGATGTCTTTCACAAACAATGAAACAGTTTCATTCCTTTTTTTTGATGATTCGCAAAATGTAAAAGCTGGAAGGACCAAGTCGTTACTTCATTTTCGATTGCAAACAAGATCAAGACGCACAGCAGATTAGTAAACTGTGCGAATGGTGCGCTCCAGGTTTGTAGCCAAACCTTGTTAAATTGGACGGAAAGGGTTTCGATGGTGCGAGTTGCGGAGTTGTTTTCCATGTCCAATCTTCCTAAAAGTGTATTTGCTCCGTATACCTGTGTGTTTGTGGAAATTGGCATCGATAGGACACCTATTACGTGTTATATTATATATGTGTATATATACCACGTACCATAAGACGTCTACAATAACACAGAAAACCCAATAGAGCATGGCTCTTGACTTTAGCTTGCGGGGTGAGTTTGAGGACAGCGTGTGTAGCGAACTGCAATTTCCGTTTTGGAACTGCCAAACAGTTTCGTAGCCTTCAAGTTCATATCGGTGTTGGACGCCTTCTTGTTTTCCTACTTGGAGGTGAGCCAAAACTCAGAAGTGGAAACCAATAGCGAATGATTGTGTTTGGCAAGTTTGGCAGGGTACACAACTTTTTGCTTTGGACCAAAGCGGCGGTGACCTTTGCATTGGGGCATCCCGGGCATTCCATTTCACGCCAAATTCTGGCGAACAGTAGCTATCCCAAACTGGCTCAAGTGGTTCACTTGTTTTGGCTATGGCCGTGCGTGGGCTTATCTGAAAGCCCAAGGTGCGAGTTAGGAACATTCTATGAATAGGTTTGACTGCAAAAAGGTGACGTCCAACACTGCTGTTCAATTTAGTGTTCCGACCCACCGAGTTATCTCTTTCGGACAGGCAATGGTTTCGGTACGGGTATCACTATAATGCTTTGGTTACACCGATCCTTGTTGGTGACTTTCAGTTGTGTTTGTGCATTTCGAGTTTTTGTTTTTTTTTGGTACGATATGTACCTACGGTTGTTGCAGGTTTGGGCAAATGGCAACCAAATTTGGCGGAAGAAGGCGAGATCTCACTTGCTTTCTGAACTTGCTACGAGAGCAGCTTCTTGAACTTTGTGGAACCCTGGGAAGTCCTACCCTTTGCATTGCCAGGGTCCAGCTCAGTAGTTTCAATGTTCCTGTGAGCCAACGTGTGCGCAGCGCAATCTTACGATTCATTGGTTTGTGGCCCGTTGGTTGAGTTGAAGGGAGCAAAATCGCAGCATCAGAAAATTCATGTTGTGCGCTTTTCAGGCTGCGTCATTCTCGAAATGTCCGGTCTCTGATAGCTGTTTTGTGAGCAGTGGCTGCAATCCTGTTTGTGTCCATCACATATGATCACGCCAGTCGTGCGTTGGAGGTGAGCCGAAATTGGCGAGCTGAGCCTACTGACACCAACGTCAAGAACGAGAGGGACACCCTTTTGCTTGACGCGAAGGCGCGCTTCCAGCACTTCGGATGCTACATATGGTCCTGTTTGGACAACCGCCATGGCGGTGCCAGGGTTAGATCTTGAGGTTCCATGTCTCACCATTTTTCCGGTTTTGGAGTAGGATAAATTGAAAATCTATACCAACATTATCCAACATTCTTTGTTGAAAGTTTGCTTGAGAGGTACTTGTTGGTTCCAAGTGTCAGGGGCAAGAGCGGGTGCATGGATCTAGTTCTTGTGTACTTCCAAAACCAAAATTCCTTTGTGCCTCTTGCGCGTGTAGAGGCCGGTGATACAAAGCGTTTGCATCCACCACAGCTGGACGTAGTTTCTTGGATCAAGACGTGTTTCTTATGATTTGGAAGTGATGCAATGATCGTGCGTTCTTCCGGCCTCGAGGCCCGCGTCTTGAATGCGAGCCTTACTTGGAATTTTCATTACGATCCGCTCGGCTTGCAGGACTGCTTCATGGCAAATTCTAAAGGTTCCAGACGGTGACCAAGTCAGGTGTTGCGTGATTTCAGCATGATTTTATGAGCATTGCCAGGACCCTTACATGAAAGATATGTTCCACCAAGGCCAGGATATGCAAGCAGCACGGTTGTTGGGTGAGGGCCTAGAGGTTTCTTCATGTTGGCAGGGGTACTCCATGCGGTGAAGTGAGACGATTTGCTGCAAATGCAGACGTCGATGCACCTCCCCTATGGCTGAGCCGCTCCCCGCCAGTGGCTTTGACCCGGTGTTTGAACTGCAGGTCCTGCT